CATCTAGGTTTGTGTAAGTGCACTCTATGACGTTTGCATAACAACAAAATCACCTAATGACACATTTCTCAGAACATATCCTCCTCGTTAAGCAACATGTGACCGTATTTAGGGTGGTTCTACTTTTTCACTATTATGAATATAATGCAAATAATAGTTTTATAAATTCTTAATTTACTTTTCTCTGTTTACTCCCTTTATGTTTTGAGATTCGCCCATGTTGGTGCTTTTAGGTGTCTTTAGCCCATTTTCATCCATTATATGGAACATCCTATTCTATGAAAAAAGCTTTACTCATTTAGACTATTTGTAGAAGGACATTTGTATTGTTTCTGGATTTTTTTCTATCCTAAACGAAGCTTCTATAAATATTATTGCAGTTCTCATAGCGCGCATGTACAAGAGTTTCTCTAAAGAAGACACCCTGCGATTGACTCCGTGGGTCAAAGGGTAAGTGCACACTCCACTTTATTATACAATGCCAGCTTCCCAAAGCCATTACACCGATTTATACTCCTACCAGCGGTAGGAGTGTAATGTTCCCATTATCTCACGTCCTTGAGAACATGCATCATCATTAGTCTTTTCATTTGTTGCCAAAATTAAATTTGGTGAATGAGAAATTGCATCTCGTTCTCTTACTTTGCATTTCCCTGATAACTGATGAGATTAAAGACTTCTCTCATATATTTTTCGATCATTTCTTTCTCTTTTATGAAATTCTTGTTAATAAATTTTGCCCATCTTTCTGATTCATTTCATTTTTTTCCTTATTGACCAGTAGGAATTCTTTAAATATTCTGAATAGTGATGTTTTGTAAGCTATAAATGTGGAAAATATCTTCTCTCAGTTTGAGGATTGTATTTTCACTATCGATATGTATTTTGATGAATGGAGGTACTCGTTTTAATGTACTCTAACTTGGCAATCATTTTCGTCTATGTTAGTGTTTCTGGTGTCTGTTTAAGAAATCTTTTTCTACCCCAAAGTCATAAAGGAAATCTCTTATATTGTCTTCTCAACATTTTGTAGATTTGCGTTTCATATTTAAGTCCTTAAGCTTTGTACAAAGAATTAATTTTGGTATGATATGAAATAGAGTTCAATTTCATTTTTTAAAATATTATGAGAAGCTATGCTTTTCCACTCATGAACTTTGAACTGAATTGCTGTGCCTAAAGGCTGTTCTAAGAACTGAGAAAAGCAGATAGTTGCAATAAATTCCAAGAAGCAATAAATTCCAAGGAGCAAAATCAGATTCTGAGCAATAAGCACTCTGAACTGAAACTTGCCGTGCAGAAAAAAGCATGGGAATGTTGAACAAAAGATAAGCAGTATGACCATCCACCTTCTGAGTCAACCGACTTGCTTTCCCAGTATTTTTCCACCCTCAATGAAAACTTTAAATTTTGCTCAAGGAGTCGCTCTCTGTGAACTTCTTCCAATTGCAGTCATTCGGATAGTATTTACCTTCACTTCTAAACAGTCTTCATTCCCATTTTGATAATATGCACCCCCAATATGCCCAGTACCACTTAACAAAAGTCTGTCTTTTCCCTACTCCTCTGCAATGCCACCTGTCATGTTACCCAGGGTCTAAATATGCATAAATCTGCTTCTGGCCTCTCTTCTGTCCCATTGGTCTATTTGTCTATTTCTATACGTATACCACAGTCTCTTAATTACCATGGCTTTATAACAAGTCTTACTATCCAGAAGGCAGGTCCCCCCATCTTGTTCTTCTAGAATGTTTTGGCTATTCTTGTTCTTTGCGACTCCACACATATTTTAAAATTAGATTGTCGAGTTTCACAAAAAATGTTCGTTGAGATTTTTATTGGAATTACATTGAATCTATAAGCCGATTTGGAGAGAACGGACATCTTCATAAAACTGAATCTTCCAAAACACGAACATGACTTATCTCTTCATTTTTAGTCCTTCTTTAATGGAGTTTTATAATAGTTTCCAATAGAGTTTTATAATTCTCTCCATATAGTCTATATAGATGAATTTATTCCTAGGTTTTTGATTATTTTAGGTTTCATAATGAATGGTATTTTTTGTTTTATTTGTGTGTTGCTGATGTATAGAAATGCAATTGATTTCTGTATAAAGACTATATCCAGCAACCTTACTAATAGTGCTTATAATTTTAATAGTTCATCTGTAGGGATTTTAATATTCTATAAAGATAGTAAGTATCTGCAGATAATAATTTTGATTCTTCTTTCTCAAACTTAATACCTTTGTACTTTTCTTTTACTTTACTGTGCTGGATAGGACTTACAATACAATGTGAAAAAAAAAGTGACATCTTTGTTTTATTCAAAATTGTAAAGGAAATGCATTTGGATTTTTGCCACTAAATATATTTGTTGTAGGTTTTTTTACAAATAACTTTTTTAAACCAGATTAAGGATGCTTCCTTCCATGCCTAGTTTGTTAAAATATTTTTTTACTACCATGAATAGATGTTGAATTACATTATTTTTTACCTACTGAGATAATAGAATTTTTCCCATTAATATCTCAACGTGGTAAATTGGATTAATAAATTTTCTAATGTTCAGCTAATCTCGAATTCCAATATCTCAATGTTTTGGTTCAGTTTGGTTATCTGTAGTTTCTGCTGGATCTCATCCATAGGGCCTTGTTTCCTTGTTTGTTTGTAGTGTTTTGGGGTTTTTTGTTTTGTTTTTGCTGTTAGCTGCACATTTTCTTGGCAAATGTGTGTGGAAATGAAGGTATTAATGAAGACTTCTCCAGAAAGGACTTGTGTTTTTGCCAGTCACCTTGGGGCCCTGTCAGTCAAGAAATCACTTAAATTATCCACTTAAGGTTTGTCAGACCACTCCGGTAGTGTGACTTTGGGCTACCAACCAGTGCAAGGGCCAATCTGTACTTATAAAATCTCTAGGGAGAGTTTTTATTTAGCCTCTTGTGGTAGATTCAATTGGTAGTCCTGCAGAAAAATAGGTTAGTGGTTGCCAGGGGGTAGGAGCAGGGAGATTGGGGAGTGATTGATGATGGGTACTGGGTTTCCTTTGGGAATGATGAAAATGTCCTGGACTTAAATAGTGGTGACAGTTGTACAACTCTACGGTTATACTAAAAACCATTTGAATCGTTCACTTTAAATGGGTGGGTTTTGTGGAAAGAAAGACAGAAACTATTTCTTAAGTGCTGATATCAATCACTATAGTTACTTAACATATAACATGGGAAAATTGGACTCAATTTATACTCCTCAAACTCAGTCTCACCAGACCGCTGTAGGCTCTGACTCCTACCACTTCTGGACCCAGCACGGAACTGTGGCGTGTGCGGTCTGACTCCCTTGTGACTGCCAGGACCCGGGAAACAGAACTCAGAGGTGTGGGAAAATTAACATCCAACTGGGTGAATTTTGACCAGTTAGAGAGATGAGGCCAAAACCTGCCGGCAGATCAGTTCCTTTCCCTTCCTTGATGGTTTCACGATGCTGTGATTCTGTACTTG